CCATTTTGGGGCCCGGGCAGGTTCCCCAGGAGTTCCCCTCGTCCTGAAGTGCTGGGCGTAGGACACGCGGGGTGCGGAGGAGGGGTGTAGCTGACGGACCCCCGCAGCGAAGGGGTGGTCCTGAGGTGTCCCCTGCCGCCCCGGGCCAGGCAGGAGGGTGCTCCTGGGAGTGGGGGTGCTCCTGGGGAGTTCTGCGGCTCTCTGAGCCCACGCTGGGTCCCGCGGTGGATCTTTCACGAACTGCATCCATCCGCCCCCACGCACCAAAACACAGATGACAGGCTCCCGAGTGCTGGGTTTTGCTGATGGGAACAGCTCGCCTGGGTGCTGAGCAGAGAGTTTCTGGCCCTGGGCTCAGGGGGTGCCAGCAGAAGCAAGCCCTGTGGGGTGGCAAAGGCAGAAACTTCAGCCCAACTCCTGCATTTCATCCCTGGGCAGACACAGGGACCAGGTAGCCGTGCCTTAGGGCTGTCAGAGCTGCTAGGCTGTGCCTCTTTCAGCAAAATTAGCCTTAAACTGATGCCTGTCTCTTTCTCCCCTTGTTTCCCAGATCAAAAATGACTGTCAAAGCTGTAAAGATGCCGTGCGCCACTCCAAATGTCTATACTAAAGTGCCTGACGGAGGATGGGGTTGGACAGTTGCTTTTGCTTTCTTCTTTGTGGAAGCTTTAACGTACGGCATTATAAAATCATTTGGAGTCTTCTTCAATGACTTGATGGAAAGCTTTGATGAAACCAACAGCAGGATATCCTGGATAATATCCATCTGTGTGTTTGTGCAGAGCTTCACAGGTAAGAGCAGCCGCGTTCGGTGTGAGTGCAAGGGGCAGCCCTGCTGCAGACCGAGCGTACGAGGAGCTGGGACCTGTGACTTTTGTCTCTAATGGCTCCATCATAAATGGTGGCTATAAAACCCAGAGGCTGCGTGCTCCTGAAACACCAAGAAATGTCTGTCTTGGCCCAGCAGTCCCTTTGAGCTCTTGTCCTTCAGTGTGGTCCAGGGATGTGGTCTGTGTTGCTGAGCCTGGCCCGGCCATTCAGCTCCCACCAGCAAGGGGTGAAAGAAAACGAAAGCTTTGAAACCTAACCCTGTAGTGAAAGGGTTGAGAAACAACTTGAGCCACACTGAACTCCGCTGCTGCTGCAGGTTTGTCCCAGGCTGCCACGCACCTGTCTGAGTCTCTTCTGCTGATTTTTTAGCACATCCCAAATGCCTTGAGCTGTGCCGCGCTCCGAGGACGGCTCCGGGGTGACTCTCTGCTGCACGAGGGGAGGTGGCACGTCACGGGGACCTGGGAAGGGGTAGAGAAGAGCCTCTGGAGGAGAGTAGCTGGTGAAGTTGCTGAGTTGGGTGTTGACCGTGGCTTTCCTCCTCTCCCGCCCATCCAGCTCCTCTGTCAACGGTCCTCAGCAATCGCTTCGGTCACCGCTTGGTGGTGATGGCCGGGGGGGTGCTGGTCAGCGCCGGCATGGTCACCGCCTCCTTCGCCCGCACCGTGGTGGACATGTACGTCACCATCGGCGTCGTCTCCGGTGAGTCCTCCCTCCCCTGCACCCCCCGGGCACCTCGCTCTGTCCCGCAGCTTCCTGCCAGCGTGGGCTTCTTCTCCTCCTGCCACGAGGAGTGCTTGAGAAACGCTGCTGCCCCTCCTGAGCTGACCTCCCCTCCCGGCAGAGGCGGTGGCCTGGGCTCGGGGCTTGGCTCTCTGCCCTGGGGACCCCCCAGGACCTGGTCCTGCAGCTGTACTGATCGCTTCTGAGGGGGACCGCTGGGGAGATGTTCACGGCGCCGCGGCCTCTAACCTCTCCCTCTGTCTCTTGGGTTTTTTCCTGATCCTTTCACCCTCTCCAGTCTGGCCTGGGTGTCCCGCTCGTGTCCGTGAGCTTGCTGCGCTTGGGAGAGCAATTGCTACAGGCTCAAACTCTTTAAGCAGATGAGGTCCTCAAAGTGGGCCCCGCTGGCTGCTGGGAGACAGAAGGCATTGTCTAGCAGGTTTGGGAGGGTTGGGTCTCTTGGTTTGGGTGGGGTTTTTTTTTTGTTTGTTTCTTTGCCCCCTTCCAATTTAAAAAAAAATAACATTCTGGTTTCCTCAATGGTTTTCTTCCAGGGTGACTTGCTGAGTTGGCCGAAATGCTACTGTAATGTCGCCACGGGGAGAGCTGACTTAACGTGTTCTCTCATCGGTGTTTCCCCCTCCCTTACTTGTTGTTATGGCAATTTTTGGCATTTATTCACAGGCCTTGGATACTGCCTCTCTTTCCTCCCGACTGTCACCATTTTATCACAGTATTTTGACAAAAGACGTTCGCTGGTCACAGCGGTGGCATCTACAGGAGAATGTTTTGCTGTCTTCTCCTTTGCACCAGGTACAGTGCCCAAATGCCACGAGTTTGCACAACGTTCATATGCAAGTTCATGTGTTCCAATCCTTTTCCCAAGCAATTGGGAGCCAAAGGCCATCGATAAGCAGTTGGTGCTCGGGGACCTTCCCATGAGCTGCTGAAGCCCACAGGTGGTTGCTCACATGTCTGTGGCACTCGTGTCCCACAGGCAGGGTTACACGTAACCCTAGAGACTGGTCTAATGATGCCCGAGCCCTCCCTGGCAGTGCCTGCCAGAGCAGGACGTGCCTCACTGATAGGCAGCCCAACGGGTTCCCTATATAGAGCTAGCAGGCTAAAAATAAGACTGAGAAACTCCAGCTATTTAAAACACATGCAGCACACACAACTGCTGTGAAAGGTTAGCAGGCTTGTGCTGGGCGTGAGCTGCCCAACTGCCCCAGCCTCTGGGGGACCTGGCCCCAGGCAGCACGTTCCTGTCACCACCTGTCCCCTGCAGTTCAGGTGGTCTTCTGCTGTGCTCGTTTGCTTTAGGCTAATGCTTGCAATCAAAGCAGCTTTACAACAAGTGAAGGCTTGTAATTAAACACTGATGTGCACCTCAGCAGAGCGAAGAGACTTCCTCTAGTAGCTGCTTGCAGGGTGGGGTCGGTTGAGAGAGGAAACTTCAACGCTGAATTTGTTTTCTTTCACTAAAAATAACACCCCCTTCATCCTTGAGCATCCCAAACTCGCTGAGACCTCAGAAGTGGCTACCTAGAGGGTAGCTTCTGCTAGCCAGGTGTTAAATGCAACTTGTAGCTGCAGCTGATGGGAGGAACATGGGTGTCAGACCCCTGGGTGGCCCTGGGCAGGACGGACCAGGAGGGTCTGCTGCTCAGCCTCTGAGAGCTGAGGTGCTTGGGACCCTCCAGAGATGAAGCTCCAGTTACTTCACTAGCTGTAAATTCAAATAGCGAACGATGAGCTTTTCTAGTTACACTTCCCTCTTGTGCCCTCTTCCCTCAGCAATTACTGCTTTGAAGGAGCAGATTGGCTGGAGGTACAGCCTCCTTTCTGTTGGGGTGCTCCAGCTAAGCATCGTCATCTGCGGATCACTGCTGCGACCCATTATCATCAAAGAGGAAGAAGAAGAAGCAGCAGCGAAAGCGCAGCCTCCAGAAGAGCCCACAGAGACAAAGTACATGCTTGAAAACGAGCAAACACGCACCTCAATAGAGTCCATAGACTCAGGAGTAGAAATAACTACCTCACCCAGCAACGTGCCTGGAAAAACCAAAGCAGAGCCTAAAAGTGATGAACCAAAGGAACACGTGCAGATAATTGTTAATAGTGACAGCACCCCTCCAGAACCAAAAAACAAACTACTGGACTTCTCTGTGATGAGAGACTATAGCTTTATCTGTTATGCATTCTTTGGGCTGTTTGCTACCCTGGGCTTCTTTGCTCCCTCCCTCTACATCATTCCCCTGAGTCTCAGCCTTGGCATCAGCAAGGACCACTCGGCATACATCCTGTCGGCCATGGCGATCGCTGAGGTCCTTGGAAGGATTTCAGCTGGCTGGGTTCTCAACAAGCAGCCTATCCGCAAGATCTACATCGAACTCATCTGCGTCGTTCTGCTGTCTGTAGCACTGTTTGCCTTCCCTTTTGCCTCTGAGTTCTGGGGCTTGATGACATGTAGCATATTTTTTGGGTTCATGCTCGGAACGGTCGCGGGCACGCATATTCCCCTCCTGGCAGAAGATGACGTGGTTGGCATCGAGAAGATGTCTTCTGCAGCTGGAGTCTACGTCTTCATTCAAAGCTTAGCTGGGTTGGCAGGACCACCCCTTGCAGGTAATTCAAAAACTTTCATCTTTGAGGGTTTTTTTTGGTGTCTCTAGCTTTTGGTGCTGATATCTAGAAAGCGTTCTGGCAGCGCTAATCACGGTATTCTACTAAAAGCCCTGCACCTAGTATTAGGAGGCTCTGGGAGCCAGAAACCTGCTGCAATGCAGCTCTGCAGAGTCCCACGGATGAGGCAGCCTCCGCTGAGGAACCTCGGAGTGCAGGCAAACGCTGCAGTGCCACCCTGATCCTGTTAAAAAGCCTAGAACTGGCATCACTTCAGGCTCTAGTGAGCAGCAGAAACAAATGGCTCTCGCCGTGCCACGCACTGCAGAAAGGTGAAGTCTCCATCAGGATAATGAGGTGCCTGATGCATCTCAGGCTTGGCTTCCCTGCAGCACCTAAAAGCTTGTGACTTGCCTGAAGATGACGCTACCCCCGAAACACAGTGGGTTTAATTTTTTCTCTAATGTAACATCTGTTTTCCATTGAGTCTCTTTTGATTGCAGATAAAACGGTGCTGTGGCACCCAGGTTAAAAACCCTGCCAGGGGGTGGGTGGGTGAGGGCGAGTGGTTTGTGGCTAACTCCTGTAAACGTGTTTTCTGTAGGTGTCTTAGTGGATACAACACGGAACTACAGCTCAGCCTTCTACTCCTGTGCTGCTGGCATGGTCCTGGGCGCTGTGTTTCTGTCCCTGGTGAGGCCGTGCAAGGCTGGGCTGTGCCACCACCAGCAGGAGGGCGCGGTGGAGGCGGTGCCAGACTTGCCAGAAGACTTTATTGAAATGGATATTGGAAAAGCAGAAAGTTCAGGAAAACGCTGCGACAGCGCGCCATAGAACCCCCTCTCCCCCTTCTCCAGCCAGCGTACTCGGCGTCAGACTGCAGAAAACATCCACTCTGCTCCACATTTTAAAACTACATTCTAAAGGGAATGTGAAATTTTAAATGTGAACAGTTGCTGCCAACTATTTTTTTTTTTTTTTTAATTAGAAGGAACTTTTTTTAACCAACAATGGAAAGCTCTACAGAAAATACGGATAGCCACATTAAGAATAACTCCTGTCTAGCATGAAGATGTGATGCACACTCCTGCTTTCCTGGTAACAACCACAGGTAAAAGTTCAACTCATCCCACAAAAACTGAGGACAGCAGAAGCAGCTCAGCCTCTGACTGTCCTCGCCCATCCCCTGCCACAAATTCCATGCAGCCAAGAAACCGACGATACGAACTGGAGATGAGCATTGCATACACCACCAGTAGCTAACTGAATCTTCTTCTGGAAGACTATAGACTCTTGATTTAGACTTGAGGAGGAGGAGGATAGACTAGATAGCTGACTTAAACCATTGCTAATTTTCTTCTAATTAACTTGAACGTCACAAATGCTGGGAAATTGGAGGCTCCATATGTCTTTATGGCCAGTTATTGCTGCACATATCTCATAAGATCATTTTTCTTCTCCTGATTGATATCCTTAGAACCATTTTCTATTGATAGTCAGATCGGACGTACTGTTTCTAATTTAACTAGTATTTATTAATTTATTCTAAGATAGTTAAAGGAGTTTAGGTTAAGTAACTGGAGAGGAAAAATCATCTTTTGCATAACGGAAACTGTCTTTACATCAATCTCTTCAATGCCTATCTTGTATTGCTAGCTTGTGAAATTGTTGGGAAACTTAAAACTCTTACAGCATAGAGTGTAGCTGTTTTTAATAGGTAGGTCTTAGGTAACCCAGTTGTTATTTAGAAAGGAAAAAAAAAAATAATAAACTACAAATCCAGCATCTCTTTCCATAAGGCCTCAGCTGGTGTCAATGGACCCGGCTCTGCTGCCAAAACCAGCCCACCCGCAGGGAGGATTTGGCCCAGTATGTCTTAATGTACCCAAAACCTTCACTTCCAGGTGCACAGGGACCCTGGGTGCTGCACCCAATGAATGTGCCACCCCCACCTCAGCCAGCCCCTCGTTGGCTGCT